CCCTCGTACACGTATAGGGTTTTTATTCACCATCAATCTAACTGTAAAACGACAACCTTCTTCAATGATGCCTACAAGATCTGTACTCTTTAGTGCAATGTTAGGAATCGAGAAATGAATATCTCCATTATCACCAATCTTCCCATCGAAAATGTTGAGTGGTGTCACCTCTTCAAGAACGTTGTCATCACAACTAGATCGCACATCCTGTGTTCTAACGCTCGGCTTTGTATCAAACTGATTATCTTTAGATGGCAAATCCACGTTTTGTGGAATGTAACGCTCTTTTTCATCCGAGTCTGGTTCAACACCCTGCACGATCTCAGATGATACATCATCAAACGCAGATGACGTTACCCCATTCCGTTCAGTGGAAAGATCTATGATATCGGTCACATCGGTCTCAATTGGTGCACTCGATTCAATAGGAAATGAGGTGCCCCAAATTTCGCCTTCATCTCACTCTTCAAGAAGAGTGTAATGATTACTAGACAACCAAAGATGAACCTGATTATCATTTCTAAGAAATTTGATTCCTTCGCATTGCACCCATTTGCGAGCATCAAACCAAATAATCACGGTCATGTTCATCAACTCGCAAAATCCTTTGATTTCGCAAGCCGAACCCCATACCGAAGGGTGTTGGATATAATCAATATATCCTTCCGCCGATTCAAATGGTACGTCATGACACAACGCAGCCATGTTTTTATATTCTGACCAATTCGCACGTACATACTCAACAATGTTCTCTTTCAATGGTTGCCAAAACTCGTCGTTTTTAAACACTGCGAGCGACAAACATCTATATAAACAAGCCCCATCTCCAATTACATGCTTTCTACGAAACACAAACCTTTTCTTCAACGCGCCATCCATAGAAGTCCCCGTGAAAAGCTCCATCTCCAATCTCAACGAAGTGCACACGTAAAACTCTCCACGCCAATCCGACTACGAACACTGAAAAAAAAACAAACAAACAAACAAACACAAATGGTTGCATGGTTATCAAGTAAAATGAAGCTTTTCAAAAATATCAGATCAACAATACCAATAACAAACTTTCTACAAAACAATTAATATAAACTTCATAATAAAATATTGCACATCAAACAAACATAACAAGTAACATTTACTATCCAAATTTATATACATTAAATCAAAAAAATTTGCAAATTATCTACTTGAATCACCCACATCCACCAACACCCACCAACTGAGCCCAATTCATGTATAAAAATCCACTTGAATCTACCCACATCCACCTGAATCAAACTGCAAGCGTCAACGCAGCGCACGTTTCTCTCCCGCCTCCAGCCTAACCTCCGTCTGATTCAACACTCTTCACATTGAATATAATATCAAACACATACATATGACATTTGTGTAATTGGGTCAATATGATATTTATGTTTACATATGCTGAACAAGAACTTTCAATATCAAACGTACATGGGACTGGGCAAAACGTAGATCCTAAAGAGTCCACGTGCAGAAAGAAATAAAGAAGATTTATATTTGTGTTCGAAAATTACTTACTTTGCAAGTACTATGTACGATGAGCTGATCAACAGGTTAAGATCCAAAAACTGTATGTAGATCTGAAAAACAGCCAACAAAAAAACAGACATAATTAATTTGTGCTTCAAAACAAACGCGCACGTATTTACAACACATACAAAATAACATTTGCCTTGTTCACTTGCTTGAAGTACCAAGATAAAAAGACAACAGCAAATCAAGCAACTTAAATAATATCAGGTAAAACATCTTACAATACAAACAAAACACACTGAACATCAAAGAAATGATAACGTTGATAAATCTTCACACAAAGATATTACCTCTACAGTTTTCAATGAGAAACATCAACCATATAAGAAGGAAAAAGAAAGCAAAGAAGATGGGGTAATGCTATGAACGTATAGTTTTTGTTGATACCGTAGCAACTATTCAACAAATCAAAATGCCACTCTGTATGTAACGAAAAACGAGAAAACCATGGTATAACAAATCATTGAGTTATTTGGAACAGAAAGAATAAACAGAAGCTAATACAATAGATAATAGCAGCTTTGAAAAAACACAAGATTTGTACCTTCAGATGATGAAAATCAGAGACCAGTCTTCACAAAAGACAATATTGGAAGCCCGTAGCTGTCATCATAACAAACAACATGCAACAGAAAAACAGCAAACAGAATGAACACCAACACATTCAATAAAGTAGAGACACTTGCATAGCTACATTGGCGAACATTATGCATATTATCATGAAAAAATAGCGAAGTAAAGAAACGTAGCAGATGATTAAATTATGAAAATAATATGCTATACAATTCGAACATCAAAATAACGATAACCATATTCTTCAAACATTACCTTTAAGGATTCCAAGGAGAAACTTCAACTGCAAAAGAGGAGAATCCAAGAGCCTAAACAAAAACAGAGAGACAGTAAAAAAGAGTAGAGAATATGGAGCAATACTATGAATATAGATCTAATGTTGATAGCAGCAGTTCAAAAGAACATTCTCAATTTTATGTAGAATTATACAAGCATGAACAAGACATGCATTATTGGAAACAAAAAGAACGAACAAATGTAAAGACAGTAAGTGAAAACACAAAAGTGTGTACCTTCAGATGATCAGAATGAAAGATCTGCCTTCTTGTAAGAGAATAGTGGGTCCCTGTGGTTGTAGACCCAACAGCAACAAGAAACAAAAAGATTAACTAACAGGAAAAAAACAACTAATACAACAAAGTAGAAAATAAGAAACATGAAAGGAGAAAGTTAAGGAGCACGAATGAAAATGAAGGCAAAGATATGAGAACATAACTTGATAGAGGGACCGTATGTAGGGTTCGATAACAAAAGGGGTACTGGAAGTATAGACTAACACTTACCTTGAAGTGATGGAAGGAAATCAGAGAGTGCTGGAAGTATAGACTAACTCACAACGAAAGAGTATGTTGAGAAATGAAGCTGGAAGAATGACAAGTTGAACGAAGAGAATGAAAGTAGATGCTAGCAAAGGCATGAGAAAGTGCTCCAGTTTCATTGTGTGTTTTTCTGTTTCATTCTGTTTCACTTTGCTTCATTCTGTTCCATTCTGTTCCATTCTGTTCCATTCTGTTTCGTCGCCTGCCCAACTTTAAAGCACTGAAAGTTGTGAATTTTGTGTTCAGGGCACCATGAACCTTAAACACAGACCCAGAAACGGTCAACATATGACCTAAACATCATTGCTTTTGGCAAAAAAAAAAGTTCCTTCAAATTATTGCTTGAGTTTAGCCAGAAGACCACCCACTGCCTTGCCATTGGGCAAAACGCATTGTCCAATGGCAAAAGGCTTGTTTTTCTGCGCTGGAAACAAACTTGACGTGAAACAAAAGAAACCACTGGCGATTTTATTCACAGCACACAAAAAAACAGAAGAGTTATGTGTCACCACTCACGTTACAGTAAACTCGTGGTGTATTTGGCAGTTACAACCGCATGAAATGACAGGGTTGAGCAGTGTCGACAGCTGTAAGAAGAAAATAACTGTAAAAATGATGCCAAAACCGTTAGCAACAAACAAGGCCGTCTCCTCGGGCCATCCCTTGAAAACGCGTTACTGTAGAATCAAAATCGAAATCAAAATCGGGTTAGGGACTGAAAAATCGAATCTTGACTGCTTTCTCTGTAACTTTCGCGGCTACCAGACAAACGGCCCCAGCTGCACGGAAACTGTACAGCGCGAAAATTTCGAAAATTTCGCGCTGCTGACGTCAGCAATCGCTGTTCAAATTTTCCGCGATGCTGACGTCAGCAATCCCTCACGCGCGAAACAAAAACGCGTGACGCCAGCAGCGTCGTCAGAAATTTCCACGCAAATTACTTTCGACGCTGCTGACGTCACTACGTGCTGACGCGTTAAAATCTGCTGACGTCAGCAATTCAATTTTATTATAGTGCTGTCAAATATTTACACATACACAAACGTTTGCGAACTGAAATTGTATGAAACGCAACTACTACATATACACATTATCATCAAAATTTATTAACATATCCTTAACTATGTGTAAAAACATCTGTATTAAAAAATCATTTTAAAACTTGGAAATTACACAATTCACTAAAATCTATTAACAACAAAATTATCAAAGTCGTTTAAATTCAAACGCATGTTACAGCCTGTTGCTTCGCAACCCTAAGACGATTTCGTCGCCTCTTGTTTTTTTTTTAATCCCCCTGGGGGTTTTGCCGTGTTTGCACCTACCTGCCCGCCAGGTGCTCTCTCGAGTGGACGCTCTGCGCAAGAGGGTGCTGGACGTGGGCAAGAACGCTACCGACCTCGTCGACAAGGTGGGTGCTGTGCTGTGCTGATCTGTGCTGTTCGGTGCCCTGCTGTGCTGTGCTGTCCCAGGCGCTAAGCCAACAAAGACGTCCCAGGCAACAGCATTTAGCTGCTCACCGTAGCAGCCATTACCCATCCGCACCGCTCCTCTTCCATGTGCGCCCACTGCTCTCCCATCCCCTCGCCCCCGCGCAACAGCATTGAGTTGCTCACCATAGCATAGCAGCCATCACCTGTCACTCCTTCTCGGACTCCAAGGAAGCGATGCTAGTCTCTGCATGTGAACGGCTGGCATGTGAGATGACTAACCGACCGACGAAGTGCACGGTTTTTGAAATGAGATGTCTAGGACCTTCAAAAAGGTAACCAGGACGGTGCAGAGGAGAGAATGCTGAGCAATGGGAGGATGTCGAGTTTTCCAAACTATGTCTGTTGGCTGCTGTTCTGGCATGTTGGCCATTGGTTATATTAGCATATGATAGACAGCATAGTAACAAGTATGTCTCCCTTTTCACCCTGCCAAACTCAAAAGCCGCTGACAAAAAAAAACTAGATTACTGCGGCATCTGCACCCCATCCACGCCATGGATAACGAAAAACCTCCCTTTGAACAGCTTGGCGCGCTTGATTTTTTCTAGTCGACTCAAAAGAATTACTGAGGCATCTGCACCCCATCCACACCATGGATAACGAAGTACCTCCCCCTAAACAGCTTGGGTTGTTTGATTTTCGCCTTGCCCTTTCCGATGCGAATCTTCCTCACCCAACCCCCAAAGCCGTTGGGTGCCACAGTGACAGCCGTACCCACCGTGCGACCATTGTCATCCCGTAACACCTTAGCAGCGGCAATGTCTTTCTCCTCTAGTAAGACCCCGTCAAGAATATTCGAACGAATCCACGAAGCGTAGGTGCGAAGTTCTTGGCGCTTCAGGTCTGGCTTTACCATGTTGTAGATGGCATTAGGCGCCGCGGATTTGATTGCACTGTCCTCGGGCAGCAGAACGGTTTTGCCGTCGGCTGATGCGAGGAACGCGTCCGTTGGGTTCCAGTTGGTCTCTGCAGTACAGTGTTAAAGGAAAGAGAACAAATAAAACAAACAAACAAACAAACAAACAAACAAAACAAAACAAAACAAAAAAAAAACAAAACAAAACAAAACAAAACAAACCGAACAAACGATTTGAGAAGGTAAGTAACGTCAAACCTACTTTTTTCTGTTACGGTAAAGGGAGAAAAAGATGTGCAAATGCCACAGAATAGATGTGTGCATCACAGTACCTAGTTGGGGGATGAGGTGATCAAGAAGCACGCTGCTGGCGCGATATCGGCCATTCAGTTTAGGGTTCTTGAGCGCGTCTCGGGCTTTCTTCACCTCCGCAATCAGCTGTCCCTTGCTGGGCCGCCGCGGTCTCGCCGCAGCAGGCGCCAGCAGGAAAGCTAGTGCAATGGCTAAAACACAAATCTGCCGCGACAGAACCATGGTGCACGCACAACTGGGGCGAAGAAGCCAAATTGTGTCGGCAAAGTTGCTGGGGGAATATATACCCGTTCTGGTGAATCTCAAGCGCCAGCAGCATTCGTGCCTGATTTGTGCTGGGTGGAGGGCACAACCCAACCAGGTGGAGGGCACAACCAAGCTGGTCGAGGCGGAAGCTCCACACAGAGGAGTGTAATGAATTTCTGACGGAGTCGGGAATGTTTCTGCCGAAATAAGTGTGCGAGAAGTGACATCCTTCGCAGCTAATACGAGGAACCGATTGCGTAACAAACTATCGCGTTGCGACGGATCAGGACGGTGTACGATTCCTTAATGGCCAATCACTGTGCGACATCCCTTACCATACTTGTTTGGAAGTCAGTTGTTACGAAGTCCCAATTGCCCAGTTACGAGGGCCCTGTTCGGTAGCCCCCCCAGTCATACTGCGGTTGGTGCGGGGGATCTTCCCAGGCCCACATTCGAACCATGTTAAAGCCCACCATATCGTTATTAGAACACCGGACCTGCCGAGTATGACTTGGCTACCGAACACGTGAAAGAACCCAGTCTGAGTGCGGGCAAGAAAACTACCACGAAATTACGAACTCAGGCAAACTCGACCGTCAGTGAAAGTCAAACCCATTTATGCTTTCCAGTTCCACTCAGCCAGGCCTGCTCAGAGTGGGATGCTGTAGGGTATACGCTACGTTAATGTCTTTTCGGGACTGATAAATCTTTTCAGCCCGATTGTTTCTACAATAAAGATCGTGCCCGTTCCTGAAATTTATTTTCTATATCGAAGGGGTTCAATTTGGCGGACATATTTTTTGTTTGCCAATCGGGCAACCTCATCCAGAAGTAAAATTTACGGTTTGAATTTCTCCATAAGCACACGGTAACTTCTTGCATTTGTGGAGGAGACTTCCCTCCGGTTTGACTGGACACCCGAGGCTACGAAACATGTAGTAGGCTTCCCCAGTTCGAGTGGGCCCAGTGTGACTGGAAGGCTACCGAACAGGGCCAAGGTTTCCGACAACGCAGGGAAAGTCTTCACTACAGCAATTTCGTGGAATCAGCGTCCAGGGAGTTCGCCGCGGCGCGGAGAACCACATTTTCTCTGGGGCCCGTCTGTTGCGGCCATGTGAAAATCCGCTTTCCACTCACAACAGTGTTTGCCATGGCGCGAGAATTTTCAGATGTGGTAACCTTTCAAAACGCAGCGCTGGGGGTCGTTCAGGTGAGTTGGGTTACAAACCCGTAGAAAATCCAGTGGTGGCTGTACGCGTTATTGAGCCGCAGGCTGATTACCATTCGAGAATTTCCCTATTATTTTTCACTTACCATACCCCACAATCACCAGCTCGATCCCCTCCCATTATGAGTGTCTCTGCGTCAAGTTGACGAGGTCTTTCATCCTAGTGGTCGCGCGCTTCGTCGGTCTGTCAGCTTCACAAGAGCTGCCAATTCGCCGGGCATTGATGTGTGGACGCTAGCCTCCCCTCCCTGGAACCAAATAGGAGTCGGAACCCTAGAAGAACTAACTTCTGAATCAGATGCGCTCAAATGTATCGCTGGCCGACACGTGTCCCTTTGGCGACTCGTCAGCGACAGACAAATTTTCCCCTCGTCTCGACCTCGTCGAGGTCATCCCCATCGTCGCCGACGTCGACCGTCGCTTACGCGATGTCGCCCAACGACGAGCGATTCACAGCCGTGCACGCTGCGACAGAGTAGTGCGTGGTGCTGGCAGAGACGGGTAGTGGTGATCCTTTCTCCCTCGCTCCCTCATCTTAAACCTATCCCACGGCTTTCGCTTCTCTTCCCCCTCCCTCGTTCCCTCTCGCGCTGCGGCACGCCAAGCATGTGCGCTAGAGAAGAGGCAAGCGGCAGCGTGGTGCTGGCAGCGAATCCGCGCTCGTTGGGCTCGATCCCACGTGATGAAAGCGGAGGGGCGGGTAGTGACTTTTGAGACGTCTCAAAAGAGGCAAGCGGCAGCGTGGTGTTGGCAGCGACACGCCCGTTGGGCTCGATCCCACGTGATGAGAGCGGAGGGGAGGGTAGTGATGAGCGAGGTGATCCTTCCTCCGTCCTCCCTCGCTCTTAGCGCGTTGAACACACACATATTGATTGTTCTGTTCGTTCTGAATCCCTGCTGACTCAAAGGCCTTTAGGTGTTGCAATGGTGGCCTTGGCAGGCGTACGGGAGTGGAGCGAGTGACAAGCGCCGGCTGAACATGAAAATGCGCCCTGTGGACATGCGCATGCGCCGGGCGACATGCACATGCAGCTCAACAGACCAACTCCGTGTGGTCTTCCTCACGCCCTCGGCTGTGAGCGGCATCATCCACTTGGGCCAGCGGTTGTGGAGGTGAGGAAGGGTGAGAAGGATTGAGAAGAGGTGAGGTAACGTGAAAAGGTTTGACAAGGGCTGTTTGTGTTTTGGGTGAGTTGCGATCAGCAGGTGGGGTAACGTCTGCTGTTGTTCACCTATTTCCATGGTGACAGTCCTCTCAGTGTGTGCGGTGTGGGACCCAGTGCGTGCGGAATAACCTTCCTCTCAGTGCGTGCAGTGCGGGACCCACTTGGCCCCCCTCCAGGCTCCGTCCGGTCATTCCCGTGCTGCTGGGCTCAACTCTCTTTACCCGTGCTGAGCGGTGGAGACGTCAGCGACGGGCAAGCGAGTGGTGCTCGCTCATGTGGCGCCGTTGAGGCGCCTCAAAAGTGGTGGAGGTGGCAGTGACAGGCAAGTGAGTGGCGCTTGCTCATGCGGCGGGACCCACTTGGCTTGGCCTTCCTCCAGGCTCCGTCCGTTCATTCCTGTGCTCAACTCTCTTCCCCCGCGGTGAGCGGTGGCGGCCGGCAGCGATGGGCGAGCGAGTGGTGCTCGCTCATGCGGCGCCGTCTCAATGTGCTCCCCCACCACTCCCGAGCACAGCAATTTGACTTCTGAGTCGACTCAAAAGTCAGCGCGCGGGTGGTGCTCGCTCATCCGTCTCAACGTGCTGCTCCCCCGCCACTTCCGAGCGCGGCAAACTGTCTTTTGAGTCGACCCAAAAGTCAGCGAGCAAGTGGCACTCGCTCATGTGGCGCCGTCTCAGCGTGCTCCTCCCCCTCCACTCCCGAGCGCGGCAACACTGCGCCCGCGTAGGGATTGATGGTGGGTGCCTTGTGGGAGAGGGGGTGGGTGAGGGAAGGGGTGCGTGGATGGGGGTTGCGGGGGTGGGTGGGTGTGGCGGGGGGAAAGAGGGGGGGGAGAAGGGTGGCGTGTGTGGCATGTGTGGCAAGGGTGTCATGCTCATTTCCTTCTTGCTATATTACGCCCTTCTCTCACTCCCTGTACTCTCCTACTGTTCCCATGCTCTCATTAGACGCCTCTCACTTTCCACTCAACTCCTCCCTCCGCCGTTCCGTCTTTTCTAAACAATTGCGCCTCCCAACTGCCATCCCCCCGCCCTTTCTCCCCCTCTCTGCCGTCCTTTCTTTCCAGCCCCACTCTCCTCCAACCGAACTCTCACCAACCCCTGCACCTAAAAATGGTATGGCACGTGTGTGCGTGGGTGCATAGAGAGATGTGTGGGAAATCCAGCCTGCACTTGTTGGCACATGCATGCATTGGCTCTCCCTCTCACTGCCTCCCGCTCTGCTTGCCTCTCGCACTTACTCATCAAGCCCCACCCCCTTGCCTCTCCCACTTATTCCCTCTCGTTCCCCTCTCAATACCAACTCTACTGCAAGAAAACAAGATTCGCCAACTGTTTGCGGATTGACGTGATATCCAAGTGCGACCTGCCTGCTGCTGCTCCCACGGGGGAGCAAGGGTGTAGTGCAAGCAGGGAGCAGCAAGACAAGAGGCAGCAGCAGCAGTGCTCTACACAGCAGTGCTTCAAACAGCAGTGCTTTTGCTGCAGGGCTACTGCATGGAGAAGAGCCAGTGCGGGGAGCATATGGGGGGGAGAGCATAGGAATAGCAGCAGCATGCGTGGCAGCAGTTGAATGCATGGCAGGGGAAGGCAGAGGCATGGCAGGGGAAGGCAGAGGCATGGCAGGGGAAGGCGCGGGCGTTGATGTGGAGTGAAAACTCCACTCCATGCTTTAAACTCAGCCAGCTCCGGTTCTTCCTTACACAACACGCTTTTTCCCACATGTACCCTCTCTCAACCGTGTTCCATATCGGTGCTGCAGGCCATTCATTGGTTGCTGTCTCATCCCTTGTCTCTTACCCTGTGTTCAATCTCGGCACGCTTCTCTCCCCATGTATCCCTGCCCCTGTGCCAGTTGGTGCACGCCATACAGGCCATGCTGTGTGCGCCCTCCCTTGCATCCACTGATTCATCATCCCCACCTGCACCGCTCTGTGACCCGCCCACTGCCACGTCCTCACAAGCCCTGCCATCAACTAAAGTTGACACATGATCAAAGGCACATGACATAACCTAGGATGCCCAAATTTTCTGTTTGCATCTCGGCCTGTAGGGCGGGTTCAGTGTGTTCGTATCTTGTCCGGTCTGTGCGGTTACTCTTGTTCCGCTTGAAATCTTCTTGCCCCACGCTTATTAACTGTAAACAAACACGCTGGACCTGCCTTTAGAGCTGTCTGCCCATGAGCTTTTTCCCAATTTAGCGCTGGGGAGAGGGAAGCCATGCATTGTGGAGATGACATTGCCACATTTGCCACTTCTTATGCAATGTGTCACAATACAAACACTTTTATCAGCCAAGCATAATACAGACACAATCATTAGCCTAGCACAATACAAACACAATCCCAGCCAAGCACAACACAAACACACTGCTAGAGCAACACACATCGAGACAACCCGCTGGGTTACACCAACTTGGTCATGGGAAAAGGAAATTAGTGGGCAACCAACCCTTGACGTGGTTGCAAGACGGAAAAATTCACCCCAAAAAGAGCATAAGCCGAGCTTGCTTTACTCCTCCGGCTGCGACGCGTCGACGCCATGAATGGTGAGAAACTTTCCCCTGAAAATCCCAGCGTTCTT